TTACCCTCGATTATAAGTTGGAGGAACTGGTATTTTTCGGCGATAGGATACGGCGATAGAGCCACATTTCGAAAGCTTCTAATCTGTTTATATCCCTCGTTTTGAGTGTCCAGCCCTCTACGCCATATAGCAGCGCTGACCACACGTAGCACTTAGTAAACCTCAGTCTCAGTTGAATAGCGAACTCTGAACAAGTCAGTACCTTCTTGAATTGTACGAAAGCTTGTCGAGCTAGCTCAATGCGACATTTTACTTCCCTGTCCGATGCCCAGTCTTCAAAAAGCCACGATCCCAGGTATTTAAATTTACTCACTCTTTCAATGGACTTAGTATTCAGTGTTATGGTGGAGTTTTCAAGTGCATCCAAGTTTCTGGAGATGATCATAAATTTGGTTTTTTTTGGTATTAATCTCTAATCCCATTCGCTTACTGTATTTTCCGATTATAGTGACAAGTTGTTAAAGATCGACTATGTTGTCACAAAGATACCATCATCAGCATATCGTATGTTGTTGATCAATACTCCATTCACTTTGATTCCCATCTTTGCATCCTCCAAAGACTCTTGAAATATGGCTTCCGAATAAATGTTAAATAAAAGAGGGGCGAGCACACATCCCTGTCGAACGTGCCTTCTTATATGTATGGGTTTGGATATAGAATTGTCTATTTTTAACTGTGCCGTTTGATGCCAGTACAAGTTTTCAATGCATCTTATGTCTGTTTGGTCTATATCAACTTTCTTGAGGATCTGCATTAACTTGTGGTGTTGGACACGATCAAATGCTTTTTGGTAATGCAAAAAGCATAGGAACACATCCTTCTTCTGATCGTAACAATTTTGGACCAGCACCTGTGTTGCTACTATTGCTTCTCGTGTTCCTAAACCTTGCCTGAACCCGAACTGGGAGTCACTGATGTCCCATTCACATTTTTTGTATAATCTTTGATGTAGTATTTTTAAGAATATCTTTAAAGTGTGACTCATCAGGCTAATAAGTCTACAACTTTTTGCATTGCCTTTCTTGGGCAGGGGAATAAAGGTAGAGCGTAATCACTGTTGAGGATAGCAGCCAGTTTCATAAGTTAAGTTAAATATTTTGTGTAGTGCTGAAATTCCCCTTTCATCCAGTAATTTGAGTATTTCTGATGGGATTTCATCTGGTCCAGGTGCCTTATTGTTTTTTGAATTTAATATTGCCTTTTCTATCTCCTCTTTGGTGATTGAAGGGTCAGTCAGCTGGTCGTCTGTATAAACTTCACTCATGGGTCTTTCGTCACGGAAGAGCTCCTGGATATAATTTTCTCATATATCAATTTTCTTCTTTTCACCCATCACCATCTAATTATCCTGATTAACTATGGTAGTTGGTCTTCGTTTTCTGTAGATTCCACAATCTCCTTAAGCTTTTTATGTAAATTACGGTCGTCGTGCTGTCGTTGCAAATGTTCTAGATCGATACATTGTTGCTTAAGCCATTCATTTTTTGCTCTTCTTATTTTTGCTTTTATTTGCCTGTTAATGTTTTCATACATATTGCTGCCATCTTGGTTATTCTTGTGTCTTCGTCGTTTTTGCATTAGTAATAGTATTTCTTCTGTCATCTATTTGTGCCTCTTGTTATTTCGTTTTGTACCCTAAGTTGTTTTTCATAATGTCTGTTACAGCACTTGTAAATCGTATTCCATGTTGGTGTTAGATCTTCGGCAATGTTTGTCGTCAATATTTGGAATTTGTTCGTTTATTTCATTGCTTATTTCTGCTTGTATCATTGGGTCTTTCAGTTTGTCCAATGCTATCTGTTGTTGAGTTTCAGGCTTGTTCTTGCATGAAAGAGCGATCTTTATGACGGCCACTAATAGTACGTGGTCATCTGCTCCAGGGTATGTGCAAGCTCTTTTGACAGTTGTGCTGAATCTACCGTTGATAAGAATGAAGTCTATTTGATTTCTTATTATGTTCTGAGCTCTATCGGCCAGACAGTATATGGAGATGAAAACGTAGTACGATACATTAAAGCAAAACTAATAAGATGGGCGGGCCACGTACTAAAATTGAGTGACGAAAGACTCCTGAACGCCACATTCTTTGAAAGGCCCGATGGCAGAAGATCTATTGGTCGCCCAAGAAAGAGATGGAAGGACGCAGTAGCCAATGATCTACGCAAAATGGGAATACAGCAATGGGAAATAGCTGCTCAGGACCGACAACAATGGAAGGAAATAGTAAACGCGGCAAAGACTCACATAGAGTTTAGATTAGAGTTCTAGTTTACAAAAAAAATTAAAATCGATTCCTTTAAAAATGAGACGTCTATACTCCTTACTCCGTGGCGTTACAACCCTTCGTGGGTTTTAGCCGACTCGACAACATGCCTCCACTGTTTTCTGTCTTGGAGCAACCTCCATCCAATTCTCCACGCCCATAGTGCTTAGGTCTCCTGCTATATTATCTCGCCACCGGTGACGAGGGCGTCCGCGTTGTCTCCTTCCAGTTGGGACTTCCTCCCACACCAGTCTTACTGTTCGTTCGTCAGAATATCTTCTGAGGTGTCCTGCCCATTGGAGTCTTCTGGACTTTATTTCTTTATGATGTTGGCGTCTGGGTAAAGTTCTTCCAGCTCTTTATTAGTTCTTATCCTATACTGTCTGATGCTTCATCAAGCACCGGAACCAAAGATCTTCCTTAGGATTTTTCTTTCCCAAACACGTAGTATCTCTTCATTTGCCTTTGTTATCGTCCACGTTTCGCTTCCATACATCACAACGGGTCGTATGATTGTTTTATGACCTGTATCTTCGTACGTCGTGTTAGTTGTTTTGATTTTATAAGGTTTTGGAGGGCAAAAATACATCTGTTGCCGGCCTGAATCCTGTGTTTTATTTCTTGTGATCCGTTATTGTCTTCAGTTATTGTTGTTCCAAGATACTTGAATTCTCTAACGCGCTCAAAGTTAAAGTCATCGATGGTAATGTTCTGACCGATTCTGTCCCTGCTTTGGTTATTGCGGCTCATATACATATATTTCGTCTTGTTTTCGTTGATTTGGAGCCCCATCTTCTCTGCTTCCTTCTCAAACCTTACGAAAGTCTCCTTCATTCCTTAATCGCGTGTTTCCTATTAGATCTATATCGTCTGCAAATGCAGTAGTAAGTTTGGTCCTTCTCGATGAAATACTGTATTCGGTTTTTCGATTCTTGTACTTCTGATTATGTGCTCCAGAGCTAAGTTGAAGAGTTGTGGTGAAAGTGCATCTCCCTGTTTTAGTCCATTGTTTATTTCAAATGTCTCCGAGTATTGTTGTCCAATTCTCATCTTACATCGTAACCGTTCATAGACATCCGTATCAACCGGACTAGTTTTTTGGAAAGCCAAGTTCCTGCCATCGCTGTCCCAGTCTGTCCCTACATACTCTATCAAATGCTTGTTTAAAATCTATGAACATCTGATGAAGCTCACGATCAAACTCCCAGCATTTTTCCATTATCTGTTTTATTGTGAATATCTGGTCAATTGGTAGAGCGGCCCGGTCTAAATCCGCATTGATAATCTCCAACGATTTCTTCTGTGTATGTTTTGGTTCTTTCTAGCAGGATGTTTGCAAGGATTTTGTAGGTGGTGTTTAGGAGTGTTATTCCCTGTAGTTTATTACATTGCTTTTTGTTTCCTTTTTCGTGTATTGTACAATAACCCCTCTTTTCCATTAGCTTGTATATCGAACTGTACAACGCTTCTCCATGTTTTATACGCACTCTGCGGGTATACCTTCGCTACCTGGTGTCTTATTATTTTTGAGTTTTTTTAATTGCCTGTATTACTTCTTCGTATGTCGGTATTGGTCTTCTATTTCAGCTGTGTGTACCTCTATGTTTGATGTACTTCTGCTAGATTGGTCATTCAATAGTTGATAGAAGTATTCCTTCCAGGTTTTTAAGATTTCCTTGTCATCAGTGATAAGCTGTCCACTGTCGTTTAAAGAAAGTTTCCTGTTCTTGCTTGGTACCCGGTCCTTGATATCTGAACTCCTTTAAAGAACTGCCTCGCTTGTTTGTTCTTTCTTTTTTCTTCTGATATCTCTGATTATTTGTTCCTGATACTCTCTCTTCTTCCTTTTCATTAGTTTTCTTGTCTCTGTTCTTCTTTGTCTATACATTTCATTGTTGTTGTGCGAGGGGTTTTGTAGCATGTTCCTTCTAGCCATTATTTCTTGCTAATATGGAGTTCAGGCAATCATCATCGAACCATTTTTTTTGTTGTTTTCTTTTTGTGTCCTAGTATTTCATCTGATACGCTTGTCAGAGCTACTTTGATATTTTTCCAAGCTGAGTCTATGTTGTTATAGTCTTCTGTCTGTGCAAGTGCGATTTTTATAGCCTTTTGAAATTTCTGTTATGTCTCCTTATTACGTAGAACTTCGGTATTCCATAATTGTGTTGGTGATTAAATTAATTTTAAATTTTTTAATTAAATAATTAATAATTAATTAATCGATTAATTAATTATAAATCGATTCCTTTAAAAATGAGACGTCTATGATGGGCCAAAGATAACGGGCTTAAAAGCGAAATAAATAAATATATTTTCCTGTAAAGAAGGAAGAAGAAAAAGAAAGCCAACTATTTAAATAAATAATAAATTGTTTCAATTATTTATTAATATGTCCAATTAGTAGGAATATTTTTGATAACTATCGTATAAGAGATTTAAAAATAAAACTTATGCTCAGTGAGAACTAAAAATATTATGATAATTATAGCTGAGGAAGTCGAAATACAAAAGAAAATTCTCTTCGCTCCTCAACCACGTTGATACATATTTGTTTCATTTTGTAAACAAACAAAACAGAAAATTAAAGAAAAAAACCAATTTGACAACCGGACGCTCCCGAACTATTAATCTACTAAATTTAACTCAAGTCACCGAGACGCGATCTGCCGCGCACCGCTCGCTTTTAGCATCGCACACACCAAACTCTTAAAATACACACATTAGTTCATAATTTTAACCTCACCAGTGAAACACCTCCATGCTTTTCAACAAAAATGATCCCATAAGGTACGTTACCCTACTTATAAGCAATTATTTCAATAAATATAATCATGTTCGATTTGATGCAACCTAAAAATAGTACGATGCATTCGTGAATTGTTATAGACACGTGTTGATGTCTAGAAATAGTTTAATTTTTATATTTTTTATTTTTTTAGATCCGGGATGGCATTTTCTATTTTCCAAGGAACATGAACATCACAAATAATGAGCTTCAAACAAAGACTCCCCCCAGAAAACACTAATCAAAATGTTGGCTGTGATCCAATCTCGAATACTTCCAAACGGAATAGTGGTCTATTTGCTTTCTTAAAATGGTTCAAGCCTTCCACGTCTCGGGAATCTATAGATACGGATCTACAAATATCTCACTCAAGTAGCTGTGATAGTTTAACCTCTTCTCATAGTGTCGGTACGGTCGCTTCTTTCTCTTATATCGCACCCGGTGATTACAAGCATAGTGTGTCGGAAAAGTGCATAACCCCCGGCCCGGAAACGGACACTTACAAAGCAAGACTGAAACAACGCGACAAAATACGCGAACGGGACAAAGACAAGAATCTTACGCTAAGAAAGAAGTATAACTTATTTTTCAACAGAGACTCGTTACTTAAATCTAAAAATAAAAAAGAAGAAATTGAAAACTCTAAAAGTTTACCTCTGATGACGAGAGGTGTTATGGAAGAAACCCAAGAAGAAATTAATAAGGTAGTGCATCGTAGAACCAATAGTGAATCCTCAAAAATCAGAAAAGCTGGTGCATATCTTCATGTTAAAGGTAAGCGAAAAGCCCCACAGCCCCCTGGAAACAAGCTAAATCCTCAAGACGAAACTTCAACTGCTAGTTTACGAAGAAAAAAGCGCTTAGCTCCTCAGCCACCCACCATAGAAGAAAAAATAATGAAAACTGGTAAAGAAAAGACTGATGCTCCTGTATACGAAGACGTAGGAATCATTTGTAATGATTCGTTAAAGCTAGATCACGGCATTTTGCGACCTGTCAAAGAATCAAATATGCCGAGTACTACTACAAATCAAATAACACAACGCTGGCCCCTTCCTCCGCTAGAACGAGCATAGAAGCTCCTGTGTCACCAAGAGCGTGGTATAAAAGAAACTTAGCAGACAAGATAAAAAAGGATAAAACAGACAGCAGGTACGAACCCATCGAAATACTTCCGGAAGTTCAATTCTCTAGAAATTCCTCCCTGGATTTAACTTTAGAAGACGCAAAATTAGATCGAAAAAAAGAAGACAAACGAAAGTCAGGTATGACGTTTCTTACAAATATAAGCGAGCTGGACAGAGAAGCATATGAAATAGTAAAAAACAAAGAATATGAGGCTATATCGAAGTCAAATATCTCAGAAATGCCAGAATTCATGCGACCTAAAAATACCAAAGTGGAACCAGAAGAGTGGATTGTATCTCCCAAAAGAAGATCCGCAAGAGATTTAATAGCTAAATTTAACGCTATAACAAACGTACGAAAAGGAGTTTTTGGATCACAAAAGGACAAACTGTTAGACAAACAGACGAGCCTGGATGAAACTAAAAGAAGACAGGAATTTCTGTTAGAAAGTCACAAAAAACGTTTAGAAGAGATAGACAAGAAAAACTCGCCTTTAATGAAGTCTGAAAGTGCCAGTGCTATTAAACCAAAGAAGGAGACTCCAAAGCTAGAGAGAAAGAGTTGGCATTGTCCAAAATGTAACGTTGAAAATGAGTATTGGAGGATTATTTGCCACGTGTGCTCCAACATTAAACCATACTTTGATGATTTTTCCTCGTCATCGAAAACTGAAAGTAACGTACAAGAAAAAACAGTTATTAAAGAAACTAGTCCACCAAAAAAGACTGAAATGAATTTTGAACGATCTAAAACGCAGATAGGATTTTCTGCTTTAGTTAATTACAATAACAAACTCAAAGTAGGAAATCCATCCAGTTCGAATGATGAAAAAGTAGAAGACACGAAGAAAGAAGAAAAAGAAAAACTGAAAAAAATGTTAATAGAAATGAAAAATTCTTTACCAAAACGAAAAATAGCACAAAGGAAAAATAACGTTGCAAGTATTATCGTTGAAAATGCAGATGCAAAAGAAGAAACAATTAAAAACGAAGCACCTGATAAAACAGAGGACAAACTTGAAGATACTGACACATCTGAAAATACAGACGATAAAAATATTGAAGAAAAAACTCAGGAAGAGAAAGTGGCTGATATTCTTATAGGTACAACCACAACGGTTTATGAAAATATTAAGGTTAAGAAAACAGATAATCCTAAACCTCTGAAAGTGTCCAGCTCTGCTCAAACTACAGCAGCTATAAAACAGCATCTACCAGCTTCAACTATAAGCAATTTGCTAGAAGACCAAAGAATGAAAAAGGACTTTAAATTGATGCAATCTAAAGATTTCGAAAATATTTATTCCCAATCTAGTCAATCGGCTGCCAAGATGTACGCCAACTTAGTGAGAAACGATGAGTTGTCGTTATTTTTTAATATACCAAAAACAGTAAAAAAGGACGAAAAGACCTCAAGAAACTTAAGTCGAACGGACAGTCTACAAATCAATCGGTTGTTGAAGAAACTTGAAGTGTCCATTTCGAAGGGAGAGTTGAGTGATGCTTCGAATATCGCGCGGGAATTGGCGGTACTCAAAGTGAATTGTTCTGTTGTGAGACATAAAACTTTAGCTTCAGCCAGGGAACGGACGAAAAAAATTCAGTAAGTACAAATGTTACCAATAAGAACATTAAATGTTAAAAATTTTACCTTTGTTAAAAAAATTACTTCATTTTGTTTTTAGTTTACATCTACCTGTAAATCTGTCTGTCCATCTTATTAGAATGATCTCTTTTATTCTGAATTTCGTTAGTTGTTTTATTTGTTAATGTTTTGTTGAGTCTTACCATCTTTCTGGTAATCAATCCTGTAATCTCTTTATTATACATGGTGTCCCATAATTAATTGGATAATATCTAATGGGTGATAGCTGACATCAAAATAAAGCGTTTGAGCTCAAATTATTTAGGTAAAATGTTGCTAGTTTTCGGCCTACAGAGTGATTCATTAATATATTTTTTTATATTATTTTTAGGGATATATTGAAAACTATTTAAACGATTTAAGTGACATTTGGTATCTTGCTATTATTTAGTCTGCTTAATCTGAAAATGATATTAGTTTTACCATTCACGCTATGTAGTACCACCTACTATAACATTGGTTCATTAATGTGGCTTTAATTTTTTTATCCGTCCTGTATAAATATTCTAGGAACAAAAACATTAAATAACATTCAATTCTACACAAAAAAAGGTATTCCTATTTTAAATAAAAAAGTACACCCTTTTTAAAATAAACGTGTTTTTTAGAGACATGCATAAAATAAAAAAATTTTACAAAAACTTATGTAAATTCAAACATTATTCAGAAGGTCTTAAATAACAGCGAATATTAAATGTATTAGTAGTAGATAACTTTTGCAAAACAAATGCATATAGTTGAAACAATTATTTTTATTAAACCTTTTACACAGTAACAAATTTTAAAAAATCAGAAATTAAATTAAATTAAACAATGAATTGAATATAAAACAATTGACAAAGTGAATAATTCAAAATGAAACGAAAAAAATTACAATAAGTGTTCAAAATGTTCACCATTAGATAAACTACATAATCTAAATTTTTTTTGTAAATTTTGTCTTATTTTAAATAATGAGTTTCTTTGGGCCCTAATTACGTTAACTCCCTCTACAATATTTTGCCATAACTCTTGATGGTTATTTTTTTATATAAACAACTGCGTGCTGGCCATGGGTATACACTACCTCTGCCAATCCATCTTGTGAGGATAAATTTCATCTAGATAATTTCTAACTTCTAGGCTAAAATGTGATGGTGCACCATCATGCATGTACCAAGAGTTACGTCTCAAATTAGAGGTATGTCTTCTAGAGTTGGTAAATTTTCTCTCAAAAAATTTAGATACGATATCCTGTCAAGCCTAGTTGGTAGTTCGAATGGTCTTACAATACAATCCCCAAATATGCCACACCAGATATTTATGGATGAAAATGATGTTTTTGAAATGCATGAGGATTTTCTGTCGCATAGGTATGGATATTGCGTAAGTTAAACACACCTCTTCTAGTAAATGTGGCTTCATCGGTAAATAAAATTTTGTTATAAAACATTGGATCGTCTAAATGCCGCCCTATCATAAACTGACTAAATCGGAGCCTTGCTGGAAAATCCTGTGGTAAAAGATTCTGTACTTAAGTAGAACGATACGGAAACAGATTTTCTGCCCGTATTATTCTTGACACCGTAGATTTGCTTATACCAGTGGCCGCAGAAACAAGCCTTGTACTGGTTTCTGGATCTTCTGCAACATGCACAACAATTTCATTCTCCATATCCGCATCAGTTACTCTCGGTCTTTCAGCATTCCTGTTTTTGGGATGAAATGACCCTGTTTCGCCTTATCTGTCGAACAATGATCTAAGTTTTATGGTTTGGTTGCCTTCTACCGGGATAAAGTTCGTGTAGCGTTGAGCTGCTTTACGAGAACAAAAATTTTCCTGGGCATACATTTCTACATTAGAAATTTCACTATGACGTCGCATTTTACCTTTATCTTTTCTTCTTCTTTTTCTTCAAGTGCCCTGTCCGTTGCGAACGTTGGCTATTAACATGGCAATTCTGATTTTATTTGCGGCGCTTCTGAATAGTTCGACCGATGTGAGCCCGAACCACTTCCGTAGCTTTTGGAGCCACGAGTGTCTTCTCCTGCCTGGCCTTCGCTTATTGTCTATTTTCCCCTTTATCTTTTACCACATTCAATTCTGTCTCAAAGTTGTATTTTGACATCGGAATTACTGTTAATCTATGTAACATACTGTGATAGGCTGTCAGTTTATATTGTGTGGGATGGAATGATAAATTGTGTATAGTCGTGTCAGTTTGGGTAGGTTTATGAAATATGGGGGAAGTCATGTTTGTTTTTCTTCTTCTTCTTCCTACTTTATAAATAGGCTTAATGCCTGTTTTACTTTGGTTTTTAGCCTCAATTGACGTTGTCTGACCATCTTTTCCTCGGACGTCCCAATGATCATTTTCCATTTGGCGATTTGTCTCTTGCTATTCGTACTATTCTATTTTTCTGTTTTCTTTAGATGTGTTGATTCCATTCCACTTTTCTTCTTTTAGTCCACGCGTTTATTTCTTCCCCATCTCGCTCGTATTTCCTCACTTCTTACTCTGTCTCTTAAAGTTTGGTTCGTTATTTTTCGTAAGACTTTCATTTCTGTTGTTTCCAGCAATATCGGTCTTATTGTTGATTTGTATATCCTGGTTTTCGTTTCCGTTGTGAGATGTTGTAGAGATCACCATGTTGTATATGAGCGCCGTATCTTCGAATTCTTTGATTAATCTTTTTAGGTCATCTTCATTTACGGCTGTTGTTATGGCGTCGTTGGCGTAGCATGTTATCCTTAATTCCTTTTCTCCCATTCGGTATCCTCTTCTTTTTGTAACTTTCTTTATGATTTCATCCATTATCAGATTAAATATTAATGGGCTCAGCGAATCTCCTTGTCTAATGCCAGTTTCATATTTGGTAGGTTGCGATAGTTTTCCTTTACGTCTTACCATAGCTATGTTATCTTTTTATATATTCTCAATGGTTTTTACTAAATCCAGTGATATTCCCTTTTCATATAATAAATGCATCGCGTCGCGAATTCTCACTCTAACAAACGCTATCTTCAAATCTATCAGACACATATATGCTGGTTTGTTGTATTCTAGCGACTTTTCTTTTATTTGTCTTATTACAAAGACTGCATCCGTGCACGATCTTCCTGTCCGAAATCCTTACTGTTCAAAATCCACAAGGAAAAAATTCCTGTAGCTGGCTGTATACCACGTATCACAAAAAGAGGTTAGTCTTTGTAAATGGGTATATTTATTTAAAAAACCCTTAAAAGGGCTACATCAATAAAACAAACGTTTTCGGACCACACAGTCCATCATCTGGTTTTAAAATCGAAAAATGCCTAAAAATAAGTATGAACCATTTAGTTAAAACAAACGAGATTATGAAATTTTGACTATGGTTGAAAAGCAAAAGATGGTTATACTTACTAGGTCACAATGCCTGAGCCACCAAAATACTAGGGTAAAAACCCTTTAAATTACATTTAGTTATAAAAGATTGTACATTGTGTTGTAAAATAACTGTGATGTTCAGTATTAAATTAAATTTGACTAGAGGTAACACATGGCTGAATCGAGTTCCAGAGCCGGTGAGAGAGAACCTCTACACGCGGAGAACAGCTGGGAACTGATTGACAAGATACTTATGACGGATGACGAAAACAGAATGTCAATGCAACAAAAACTATATTAGTTGTACATAGTATTACTACAGCCAAAAGATTCAACAAGTTTTGATGATTTTAAAAATAACACATCTAGGTGTTGGGATTTAAAAAAAGACTTTTTTATTTATTAATTTTAGGGTATAAAACATGTGAAATCAATGATGGTTTTATAGTCTTGATTAATAGAATGACCTGTGCCTTAGGCAACTTATGTTGCTTTTTGTCGTATGGAATGTGGTCTAAAAGTGTATTTTATGTTTGGATTAGCTTATATCTATGAAAATTATCCTTTTATGTTTTATCACATCTAGGACAAGGTAAAAATTAAATAACAAATATTTGAAGCTAATATCAGACCTCATATTTAAATGACTTTATTTAAGACTGCTCCTATGGTGAAAAATTAATAAAATTAAGTTTAGTAAGATGGAAATCTACAGGCTGAAGAAATTAAAGTAGTAACCTATGTGATTGAATTTAGAATTGAAGAGGCTGGGTTCCTCAAAGACTAATGAGAATAAAAGTAAAGGAAATGACTGAAGAAAAGGAGGGGGGGGCGGTTGAAGGAGAAAAGGAGTTAATCAACAGTTAGAGATAAAAGGGGTCCTTTATACTTAAAGTATCTAGTACCCTGAACAAAATCTATTTTGGTGGTATTAAATTCAGTTTGTAGAAACCTGAAATTTGTTGTATAAGTGTGCTACTAAGTTGTTGACCGAGAGGAGGTGGACAATGGTAGATAAGGATTCTTTGTAATATGGTAGATTGTGAATTTTAATAAATTGTTAGATAATGTTTGAGTGATTACTCAATTAAAACTATTGGATACATGTTTGATATATGAATTGACCAAGAAATAATGAAAGAGAACAGAATTGACAGGAATGTGATGTAGAAGTGAAGAGTGGATAAGATGGTGATATGTTGGTATGATAGATGTGGATGGTTTTGAAGTTAACATTGGGGTCGAAAATTTGTGAGAGGAAGGTGTGGCGATATTGTAGACAATGGGTGTTTAAAGAAACACAAAATTGTGTAGGATTAAGGTGTTGACGTTTGTATAGGAAAATAAGGCAGAGAAAGTAGGGCAGTATTGTGAAGTGTGAACTATGAAAAAGTTGACGATGTAAAGTTGAACTTACTGTTCCTCTTTCAGAGATATTCGTTCGTTTATTTTTGTCGTTATTATTCTTGTTGTCAATTTGAGTGTTGTATTTAAAAGATTTATTGCTCGGTATTTATTGGGGTCTTTCTCATCTCCTTTTTTGAAGAATATCACCATGATCGCTCTCCTCCATTTATCTGGTATTCTGTTCGTGGTGATTATTTTATTAAT